TATTCTGGGCCAGCTTTAGCTCTGAGGCCTCGCTGCTGAAAACATCGATACAATGTTGCGGTGGCTGGCTGAAGCCCGGCTGAATGAAAGCCGATTTATGGGGTTTTGTTTAGCTTCTTATTTGCAACATAGTATATAGTTGCTTAGAGTTGCAGCTGAGAGGCCGGCAGTGCATGGGTTCCGGCCGCCATCTTGGCTGACAGTTAATTTGCATAAGGATATGCTGATTAGCCAATGGGAAGGGTAGCGGTCGTACGCCAATTACCATGTTTCTCTTTTATTAGTGTAGATTGAGCCTCCATATCTTGAAATCAACTTAATTATAAATATGGATTCTGAAGATAATGACAGCCCTCTGTTATAGGAAGGTCATAGGTATCCAAGATATGTTTGACTTTTAAAAAAGATTATCATCTCACAACACAAAGTTTTAAAACACAGATAACTTGCAGGCCCGAGGATATAGCTGCAATTCTTAGCATTCCTTCAACCCCAGTATTTAGGAGTTGGATCGTTACAGATACTTTGATTGATCCCAACAAGTTGGTGCTCCCTTGGGGACCTCTGTGGCATCATAAGCAGAGCCAGGCACACATGCTTGTGGGACATAATACAATATTCATATGAATTCAGCGTTTTACAGCTTACAAAGAGTGAACCACATTATCTTACTGTATCTCCCTAAGAACACTGTACACTAGATATTGTTATTACCACTGTATAAGTGAGGAAACATTTGTAATGAGGGTTAGGAAGTTAAGGTACTCATTTCAAAGCGAAATGTCAGTGCTCAGCACATGGACAAGTCTTGACTCCCAGTCCATGACACATCGTAGCTACTTCTCTGTTGATCTCTATAAAATCAACCAGACTTTTGGCCCCAGAGAAGGTGTTCTTCACAAGCTACATGAAGTCAGAATGACCAGGGCAAGTCCTGTGCTGCGTGTCTCTTCCTGCCTAACACCTATCAATTGCAAACTTCTAGACAGCCCTGACCCTGAGCACCTTACCTGGACCACTTACCTACCTCGGGTATCTTTTGGAAAGAGTCTGAAATAAATAAATTCACATCCTGCTTTTGGCCTCATGGTTTGTCTTGATCAAAGGAAGGCTACAGGACTAAAATATAACCTCCATGTTTCTTCCTGGTCAGAGTTCTTTCAAATGCATAACATCTGTAGAGCCATCCAATAGCCTATAAACACATCTTTCTGTGTTTTCTCCATTTGCAAGGCAATCACGGCAATGTCTAATATACTAGCTACCAGTCACATCACTACTTACCTACATTTGAATTTAAGTTAATTAAAATTAAATACAATTTTAAATTCTGTTTCTTAGTCACATTAGCCACCTTTCAAGTGCTCAATAGCTATGTGTGTCTAGTGGCTACCACATTCAACAGCAAAGACACAGAACTTTCATCACAGAAAGTTCTGTTGGATAGTATTGTCCTAGACCCTATCTATGCAAATTAATTATCTGAAACATCAAGGTATATAGTTCTGACCTCCAGAAAGCTCAGGCTCTTGTACACATAATGCTCCCCTGGGCCTTTTGACAGGTCTGCGATGGAGTGGAGGTGGAGATTACTAGTTACAGCATTGAAGCAGGACTAGGAAGAACCAGAAGACTGACCAAAACTCACACCCCATGCTGACAGCCACAGCCCTGCTGCTGGTTCCCGCCTCTCTGTGGAGTGTGGTTTGCCCACCAGAACACTCCATTCATTCGCTGGGCCACCCTTCCTGTCCAGTCAACACTGATGGGATCTGTATGAACCTAATTGTGTGATGATTCACTGGAACTCCAGTGTGGTGGAGAAGGGACAAGTCATGATACAAAATTGCACAGTAAAGTTGTGTCCACTCATGAAGATCATTTACGTCAAAGCTCCATGACTCAAATTTCTCATACCTGTTCAATATAGTTCTTTGGATTATAGATCAGACTCTACATGCCCAGGCTTAGAATGTGGAGTGGTAAGGGGTAAGGAATTAATAAGTTTATTTCTCCCTGAACTCTCATCATTCAATGATTCCCCTTTTATTCTCCTCTCCTCCTGAAGGAATTCAAGAGGGGATTCAAGACAGCCTAAGGTCTCTTCCTGTCTGTATTTAGTGGTCCCCTACCTCAACCTCCCATGTGATTCTTCCCTATATATTTCTAGAAAGACATAATGAAAGGAAAAAAGTATAATCAACCCCTACTATGAAAGAGAGAAAGACCATCAGTCAGAGACAGATACCATCCCTAGGTACCAGCTTGGCTCAGGTTTAGAGTCTGAGCAACATGGTCCAGTAAACATACGATGGAAGCCACATATGCAATTTTATATTTTCCAGTAGTTCACATTAAGAGAGTAAAAAGAAACAGGGGAAATCAATTTTAATAATATATTTTATTTAACCCAACATATCCAAAATATTGTCATTTTGACATGTAATCAATATTTTAAGTGACCTATGTGATCATTTACATTCTTGTTATTCACACTAAGTCTTCAAAACCTGATGTGTATTTTACACTCACAACACATCTGCCTTGCTCATAGCTGCATGTGGAGAGTGGCTATTGGCCTGGACTGACCCCAGGAATCTGGCTTTGACGGGATTGCCTCCTCTGGTTCTCCAAGGAAAATCTAGCTCATTGAATTCCACTTTAAAATTTATTTTCGTTGAATTCAATCTTATTTTAGTCACCTGTCCCACTTACGACATCTCTGGGTCCTTCTGTGTTTTTATCAACTCCAAATGGTATTTGTAAATGTTTCCAGTTGCCACAATCATGTTCAATAACACCCAACTCTCAGTCTACCTCGACCCAATATGTGTCTCCATCAAAGCAACACAACACTCCCTTTTCGTCATCCCATCTTCATTCATTTTCTGTCCGTGAATTGTGTTCTACTACCAACAAATTTGCACTAGTTTTGCAAGAAAAGTGCTGTGTACTGACTGCCATGGCAAATAACAGTGTTGTCCATGTGTCTCTCTTTCTTCCAAACAAATTGGCACTCTGGACAGATTTCAGCTCATTGCTCCTAACGACAGACTTGTTTGGTTGGAAAGTGAGAACATAAAAATAAAAATCCAAGGAGGAGTAGGAGTTCAATTGTCTTCTTGCTCAACCAGCCTGATTCCGGGGAGCAGAGCCATGCGTTATTGTAATGGTTGGCAGGAGACAGCTTTGCTTCGCATTCTCTCTCGGTTCCTGTGCCCGTGAAAGAAAATCACTCACCTATAAGCCAGCCTCCCTCCTCGTTTCTCTGAGAGACAGTGGGAGGATAAAAGCCTAAATGCCACCTGAACAGAAGTGAGCAGCTCCGATGCCGCCCAACCCCAGCACGAAGAGGCCAGGACTGAATGTAAGCGTTCAGAGAAGATAGCGTGGGGTGTACATTTTTAGAAACTGTCGCACTCATTTTATATTTTTTCCTAGGAAGAGTCCTTGTTTTAAAAATCTAGGTTTTCCTTTTAGTGGGAAACAGATGCTTTCTTAAAAGTTCGGTGTTGGATTGACAGAGAAAACGTGGGTCACTGCCCAAGGTCACGCAGGCCCCTCGGTGAGCACGCACCGTTTCCGTGGCTCCCCCAGTGCTTGGCTGGAAGAGGCTGAAGCCCCCACACAGCCCATCGCTATACGCTGAGTAGGTCCAACAAGAGGAGACTTGAATCGCTGCCCAGAGAATAGAATCTGAAGTCTCGTTGGTTCCCTTGGTACCAGGGTCTTCCTTGTGAGGCTTTAGCTCCCGACTTTGTTTTCTGCAAGTTCCTTGGATAAAAACCTGCTCTCACCAGACCAGCCCCTCTGGTCCCCATCCTCCTGGGCCAGTTCACCACAGGTATGCCTATGCTGACCACCTCCGCCAAACTGGCATATCTCCCCACAGGCCTGGGTCTTACATCCTTACCCCTTACCACCTTTCCATGGGAATGTTATCTCCCCACTTAACGGAAGTTCTCAAAGGGCTGAGACTCAAGACCATGGTTTAGTCATCCTCCTTTCTCCCCTCAGAAGCTGGGACCAAGCTTTAATCCTAAAATGCCTTGAATGTGTAACTGTTGATGGAAAGGACAGTGAGAAATGAGAAGAATGTGGCTTTACAATCACACTGTCATCATCATCCCCCACAAAACCCTGTCACCTGAGCCCCCGCCCAGTGCTGTTAGGAGGAACACGTTGTCCAGAGCCACAGAATTGGCTCAAACTGCCAGACCCAAAATCAGGTCACACTGTTTTCAACATCGCATTCATAATCAAGACTCAAGCTGCTCACCCTGGTCTGCCACAATGGAGTGGAAGGGAAGGGGAGAGGAAATGCAGACAGAGATGAGGATGGCAATCATTCACACACACACACACACACACACACACACACACACACACACACACACAGCAGTGATGGAGAGTGCAGACCCTACACATAGTCAGGCTGTGTCTCCCAGAAGATGCCCCTCACCGCTAACCAGTCTCTGCTGGGAAGCTGATGTCCCCGAGGCTTTTGTAGCTCAGGACGTTGAAGTAGTCGTGCGGCTCGTCATAGTCATTATCCCTCTGCTCTCTGCATGGGCCGGCAGCTGCAGCTTCTGTCAGGACGCAGCTTGCAGGGGAGGCCGGAACCCTGAGCCCCCATTCCTCCTGTCCACAGGGCCCTCTCCTGAGGCCACTTTCTGCAGAACGAATTCTGAGAAATTTCTTCTAAAAACAAACAAATGACAGAGTATGTAGGGGTGACATTCAAAAGTTACTCCCCAACTGATACATAATTATAATGATCTCTCTTCCTTTCTTACACACACACACACTTACACACACACACACGTGAAGTTGTATTCTGACCAACACCAATCTCTTGACCTTACTTTCTCAGTTTTGTCATGGCTGGATTTCAGTACTAACCACTCCACCAAAACAAAACTTCTACACACGCAATGCACCTGTCACCATTCCTCCCTATTCACAAAGCCTAGTGATGCAGCTTGCACCCCACTTCTCTCTTACTCTTTGTCACCCCAAACACTGATGACCTCTTCTTTTTTAAAATGCTCTCCTTCCCCAGCTTCCATGGCACCTCCTCCCTGGTTCTCCTCCTCCTCCCCTGAACCCCACCTGCACCTTCAGCCAGCCCTGCTCTTTTTCCTGCTTGCAAATCAGCTCCCCAATTAAAGGGGTTTCCCAGGGTCTGCCCTCTGCCTTCCCACATTCAACACTCTCTGAGACACTTCGTCTAAATGTACATCTACAACCACCCTCTCCCCTCCGAGGATTCCCAAATCTCCACCCATGGAAGTCCAGGCCTCTGCCCCGAACTCCAGGCTGAGATGCCCACTTGCTAACTGGGCATGGCCACCTGATGACCCACAGCAAGCTCAGGACCAGCCTGTCTCAGAGGAACCCAACATATTTCCTCCTCCACAGACGGCTCCGGCCCCACAGTCCCTAACCTGGTTTACGGCACCAGCTGAGACCTGGAGGCCAATGTTAAACTCCAAGTGGCCATAAAATCCTATCCTAGAAAACTCTAAAACCTACTCCCTTTTCTATCCCTACTTTCATGTCCTGTCTCTGGCCTGTACTTCCACACTCGCCTGCCTCGAGAGCCCCTCTTACCTCTAGTCCAGCTTCCACATGGCCACCCACAAAGTGAGCTTTCAAAAATGAAAATTGGATCATGCCATGCTTCTGCTGACAACCCTTTAATGTCACTCATTGTCTACAGGAACCACAGGAGGAGTTTAAGGGATTTACAAAACCACTTAAGTTGTGTGAAAAAACCTTGTCTGAGATGCATTCTTCAAGAGACTGAGTGTGATGCCCTCAAAATGCCCTGTGTGACTTGGTCACTTGCTGACAACCCTTTAATGTCACTCATTGTCTACAGGAGCCACAGGAGGAGTTTAAGGGATTGACAAAACCACTTAAGTTGTGTAAAAAACCTTGTCTGAGATGCATTCTTCAAGAGACTAGTGTGATGCCCTCAAAATGCCCCGTGTGACTTGGTCACCCTCACTTTCTCAGCTTCATGCCCCACCAACACCCCAAATTCTGGTACAGGGCCTGATGCCAGAGAGCTGCCCTGAGCATGGGCTGGGCTATCTTCTCATGTAACCTCACCAATACCCCTATCGAAGTCTTTGAATTAGCTCCGAGGCACAGACAGGTGCAGTCACTTGCCCCAGGACAAGTCCAATTCTGACTTGGGTTTGTCTGACCCCAGGCTCTATGCTCTTTCCCCTCGACCAAGCTGCCTCTCATCTTGTGGTTTCTAGAATGCCAGGCACTGTGTCCTGACTCCCCGGTTTTATATATGTTACACCCATCGTCCACCCTCTGTAGTTCCCTGAAAAGGTTGTGTACTCCATCCTGCCGATGCAGCTCTGCAGCACGTTGTCCGAGAAGCCTTCTCTGACCCTTCCAGGGAGCTGCGTTCTCCCCTGCACTGGGATGCGCTCCTGGATGTTCCCTGTTGTAACACTGAATCCTGTCTTCTCCAGACTGTGAGCTCCCTGGGGGAAGAGGCTATGTCTGTTTAACCTCAGAGCCCATAACAGATGCTCAGTATATGTTGAAGGACTGAAATGCGCGTACAGGCATGCACACACAGGCGCACACACACAGGCACACATACACGCTCCCGCACATGCGTGCGCGCACACATTTTTACACAGCCCCATACCTAGAAGAACTGGATTTTCTGAATCTAAGTAGGGAGTCATGGTCAGACAACCACAGTTGCACTTGTGGGTAACCTCAGAGCCCATAACAGATGCTCAGTATATGTTGAAGGACTGAAATGCGCGTGCAGGCATGCACACACAGGCACACACACACAGGCGCACACACACAGGCGCACACACATACATGCGCGCGCACACATTTTTACACAGCCCCATACCTAAAAGAACTGGATTTTCTGAATCTAAGTAGGGACTCATGGTCAGACAACCACAGTTGCACTTGTGGAGCAATAGGCCAGAACAGTGAAATATGTTGGGGAAACCAAGGACCTGAAGTCAGCCATCACATCCATATGAGGGCAGCATCAGTGAGGGCTGAGCTAAGGCAAGGAATCAAAACACAGTGGGCAGCCCTAGCTGGTTTGGCTCAGTGGATTGAGCATTGGCCTGCGGACTGAAGGGTGCCAGGTTTGATCCTTGTCAAGGGAACATGCCCGGGTTGCAGGCTCAATCCCCACTAGGGGGCATGCAGGAGGCAGCCAAGCAATGATTCTTTCTCACCATTGGTATTTCTCTCTTGCTTCCAGCATAGGAAACAGAAGCACCGTTACTGGTAGCGTCAAGCTCTGAGGTGCACAAATACATGCAGGGGACTGCGCAGGAGAGTGGATAGGGCCACATGGAGGCTCACTGGAAACAAACATGGAAGAGCAAAGTGACGCACAACTGCAGGCCCTGAGGAGCTGGGCCTGGAGAGAGGCCATAGTCTCAGAAGCACACACAGGAATTCTCTCACCACGTACTAGTCCATTCATTCCTTTTCAGGAGGAGTGGCTGCACCTTATCTACCAAAAGTATGAAGAAAGGGGGCAGTTATCATAGGTGGACGCTGACGCTGGGCTTAACAGAAGTGCTGCGTCCCTTGGCGCAACCCCACCCATTTGGAAGCATGGATGCCCAACTCATCCTCAAAGGAATGGTGTGACCTTCCGTGCAGTTGTGCTCTTGCTCCCTCTCTTGGCCTGGCCCCCCTTGCCTTTGAACCTTAGGACTCTTTGGGCTTCCAGAGTCCTCTGGGAATTGGAGATATGCCTGAGGTGGGTCTCTCGCTGTTCCGTTTGCATGGCATCCTGCATGGGGGACTCTGTAACTGTGATCTGTGCGGAAAAATAGTTTGGGATCAAGGCACTGACGTCCTGAAGGATCAAAGGCAGCTACTGGGATTGCAGCTGGGGCTGCAGGACAAACACTGCCCCCCGTGGAACCCGAGGAGAAGGACAGCGCGTGGCAGTCATGGTCCTGGTGCGGACACACGGTCTCTTCTGTGCTTCTCAGAAAGTCCCCTGGGACACTCTGCCAACAGCTGCCTGGCAGATAACAATCATTCATTTGGTCTAGTTCAGTGATGGCGAACCTTTTGAGCTCGGTGTGTCAGCATTTTGAAAAACCTTAACTTAACTCTGGTGCCGTGTCACATATAGAAATTTTTTGATATTTGCAACCATAGTAAAACAAAGATTTATATTTTTGATATTTATTTTATATATTTAAATGCCATTTAACAAAGAAAAATCAACCAAAAAATGAGTTCGCGTGTCACCTCTGACACGCGTGTCATAGGTTCGCCATCACTGGTCTAGTTGATCCATGCGATACAAATATTTATTGAGCACCAAGTATTATGAGGTGCTATGATAAATAAAGTGCATAATGATAAGAACATATACTTATAAGAATAATGGTTATTAATGTATGCCAGGAAAAATGCCCAAGTGGCTTACTTGAATTATTTGACTTAAATTTTCTCGCAACCCCACGAAGGCAGCACCATACTTATTTCTGATTTACAGATGAGAAAGCTGAGGCTCAGCAAGGTCAGGTGACATAGCTGCTCACGTGGTCGAGCCAGGATTCCAACCCAGGCCTGTCTGATTCCAACGCCATATTCCTCGAGACTGCAATCTGCTGGCTCTCGGGGTCTGTGGGGAGCAGTCTTGGTGCCCCACTCAGATCCTCAGTACCTGACCTGTGCTCCCACTCCCCAGGCCTGGGCGTATAGGCTGTGAGCGGCTCACAGCTGCCCCTTCTCTGCAGAATTGCTCTTGGACCCTCCCTGCTGCGCAGCCTGCAGTCAATGACTGAGGAAGGTGGGTTTTTAAAAGGCCAGCTCCCTGCCTTAGGATGCAACCAGCTCTGCATACAAGACTCGCTTCAACCGAGTCTCCAGCCGAGACCACATCATGCGGAGCGTTCTTCACCCATTCTGCTTCCTTCAGCACCTTCACCTGAGACCTCGTGCAGGTAAATCCCTGTCGCCAGAATCCACGAGTCAGGCCCTAGTTCCTGGACCTGCTCTAAAACAGTTGTCCTGGGAACGGCCCTGGATGGAATGTGGAAGGAGAGCCCTCACCGCTGGATGGGAACAGGAAACAGGGACCCCACCGCGGGGAGGGGGCGGGGAAGGAGGGAAATGGAGGGGACACAGATGGAGGGGGTTGTGAGCTGATGCCGTGGCTCTGACATTGGAGAAGTGCGGAGTAAGCAGTGATTATGAGGACTGTGGGGTTGGGTGGCTTTTGCTAAACCCTCTGCTGCACGAAAGAGAAAGGGAGACAGATCTGTCAGCAACTGAAAGCAAAGTGAGAGTCAGAGGTCCTCCTGAGGGCAGCATTTACAGAGCATCCTCCCCACTGCAGGCCGGGGAGAGGGAACTTCTGGGGGGGGCGGGCTGGGGGCAGGGAGGCAAAGCAGGGAGGGAGAACATATGTAATAATAGTGCCAACAATAAATTTTAAAAACAGAGACTGAACTTCAAAGAAGGCTTAGGCCTGGGCAAGTCGTATACCAGGGTCCTGATCTGAAAACAGTGCCCTCATCCTTTACTTCTCATCCTGCAGGATCATGGGCAGCCGGGCACCACTAGAGAACTGTTAACGCTAAATGGGCTGATGTACAACATCCCCCTCACAGAGCAGATGCCCCAGATGCATCACAGCCAAAGCAGGTAACTCAAACCCCGGGGGATGGCCGAAGGGACAGGCAGGAACTAGGAGCTGCAGGTGACAACGAGACTGGAGGGAGACAGGTCCAACCTCTCGGGCTCCCAGATAAGGGAGGCACAGAAGGAGAATGCAAACAACTTCCCCAACAGGCGGAACAAGGACCACGAAAAAGGCACGAAGGGCAGTGGGGGATCCCGTCTATGTCTGTCTCTGGACAGAAGGAGAATCAGAAAGGGCCAGGGTGGCCGACGTGGGGTCCAGAGTCTTACCTTTCTGGCCAACGTGACCACCATGGTGGCCGCTGTGCAGATGACCACCAGCAACAGGACTCCCAGCAGCGGGATCAGGAACCCAGCGCTGTGCCCAGCCCCTAGCGGGAGGACAAAATAAGGGAAACGGACTGAGGCCAGAAGCAAAGGGCAACCAAATTTCCCAGGGAGGCCTGAGCTCAGGGCACAGAGGTGCGGGCTGGCCAGGCCTTTCTCCGGCCACAGACTGGACCACTAACCCAGCTGCTTGGACCACAGAGCGTCTGCCTGGCCCACCATGAGCCACTGACACGCAGCCGTTGTGTACCTCACACGTTTACACCGGAGCAGGCCATTGCTAACCCCCCTCCTCGACTCAACAGCCTCACTTTGGGAAATACTCATGAAATAAAACAAGTGGCAGCATCCAGAAAAAATGGAAAAGGAATATTTTATTTCATTAAACTTCATATTTATAATCATACTAGTAGGAAAATGTTAACTTAAAAATTAAAATAAAATTAATATTAAAGTGCAAAAAAAAAGAGAAAAAGCACATAACCTTTCACCTTAAGCCCATGACACTTATTCCTCCTGGGCGGTGAGACCTGGTGGGAGCAGGGTCCTGGGTCTGTGTCCTTTACTGTTTTCCTTCATTCATACCACAGATTCTTTTTAAATACATATTTTATGGATTTCAGAGAAGAAGGGAGAGGGAGAGAGAGATAGAAGCGTCAATGATGAGAATCATTGATCGGCTGCCTCCTGCAGGCCCCCTACTGGGGATCGAGCCCGCAACCCAGGCATGTGCCCTGACCAGGAGTGGAACTGTGACCTCAACCACTGAGCCACGCCTGCCAGGCCCATACCACAAATATTTATCAAGCGCCTGACACATAACTGGTGCTTCATCAATGTTTGTGATATGAATTAAACATGAACAAGATAATTTCTAGGAACATAAAATGGAAATGGAAGGAGGAAGAGGCAGGAAGGGAGTTTTGAAGAGATGATATTTTATCCAAGGAGCGTGTGAGAGAAACAGGACGGTTACCCCTGTGTGCTTGCTGCGGGGGAGGTTTCCAGGCCGCTCCCCCATCTCCACCTCCGTCCCAGAAGGTCGGGGGAACCCAGGTGCCAGGGAGAAAAGAGGAGGGCGTGGCAGAGGCCGGCCCTCTTCCCTCTGATTCAGGGCTGCGATTGCTGGGATGGTGGCCTAGGCATGCAGTCCCTGAGAACAAGGGCAGTGCCCGCAGTCCCCACACGGTACCAGGAGGGGTAGGAGAGGGCGCCCAAACCCCCAGCACGCGCTTCTCCTGCCCTGAGGGTTCCATTCCCTGCTTTGGCCACAGGCGGGGGGAGGGGGCAGACGGGGAGCAGAGGGGCCATGGAGGGCAGTGACAGGGGGCAGAGGGCCTGCAGAGGGCTGAACACAGAACAGAAAAACATGTAGGCTCTTGTCCACATGCATAATTGGCCTATGTGGGAGCAAGCATTTGAAAAGCAACTTTAAGGAAACAGTTTCACAGATTTTGCCAACTCATAAAGCTTAATCTCTAACACAATCAGCAAATAGAAGTTCAGAGGGAACCAGAACACCTGTGTTAAACTCAGCGCTAATGCTCTGAGCCACTGCAAGCCTCAGCTTCCACCTGCATCAGTCAGACAAGCAGCGCATTCATCACTGAGACGTACGTGGTGCTTCCCATGCATGTTCCAGGTGCCGAGCTGCCTGTGGTAAGTAATTCAATCCTGTCAGCACTTCACAAGGTCTGACAACCGCCTCCTTTCACAGAGGAGAAAACCAACGCACTGAGCGGCTACCTAATCCTGTCTGTGGTCACCAGCAGCACCGGGATTTGGACACCGGCTGCCTGGCATCAGCCTGAGCTCATAACCACTCCACTCCACTGTCTCTCAGATACGGTCAGGATCCTTTCCCACCGTCCCGACATCTGGTTCAAGTGTCCAGGTGGATAACAAATGTGAGATTATTTTGGAAGCTATGAAGCAGGAACAAATGTAAATTATCGTAAACTTAAAAATAGAGCTATCATTGTGACCCAGCAATTCCACGTCTGGGTATTTATCCAAAGACATTCAAAACACTAATTCAAAAAGACATAGGCACCCTTATGTTCACTGCAGCACTATTTGCAATAGCCAAGATGCGGAAGCAACCTACGTGTCCATGAATGCACACAAAAGGTGTGGTACACTGGCACAGTGGAATATTAATCAGCCATAAAGAAGAATGAAATCTTGCCTTTGTGACAACATGGGTGGACCTAAAGGGTATTATGCTAAGTGAAATAAGTCAGACAAAGAAAGACAAATATCATATGATTTCACTTATATGTGGAATCTAAAAAGAAAAAAAACAAATAAATGAACAAAAAAACTCATAGATACAGAGAATAAACTGATGGTTGCCAGTTGGGGGGATGAATGAAAAAGGGGGAGAGGTTAAGATGTAGGATTGCCAGATATAAAAACAATCACAAAGATGTAAAGTACAGCACAGGGAATATAGTTAATGATACTATCATAACTGTGTATGACGCCAGTTGGGTACTAGACTTATCAGGGTGATCACTTTGTAAAGTACACAAATGCCTATCACCATTTTGTTCACCTGAAACTGATATAATATTGCATGTCAACTGTAATTTTAAAAAAATCAAAAACCTTTCTAAAATGCAAATTATTGTACATTTACACTTAGCACACAGCTTTGTTTCTAACCAGCTCTAATCCCTTATAAATTTAGGAGCTAATTCTAACCTGCATGATCCATGCTAACCTCATAAATGAGAACGTTTTCTAGATGACCATATCTATATATATAAAAGCCTAAGCAACCATTACAACTAGACAACTGATGACCGGACAACCAGCTATGATGTGCACTGACCACCAGGGGGCAGATGCTCAATGCAGAAGCTGCCCCCTGGTGGTCAGTGTGCTCCCACAACCAACCTCCCCCTGGCTGGCCAGCCATGATCAGCCCCGGGATTGGGCGAGACAGCCCCAATCTGCCCTGATTTCTGGCCTGGTCGAGGGACCCCACCCTTGCACGAATTCATGCACCAGGTCTCTAGTCAATACATATACACAAAATGTCCTTTTTATACCCAAAAGTGTGGTTATCAATGTTGCCTGCTCATTGGAATCACAAGGGATGCTTGTAGCACCTATCAGGTCCTGGCTCCACTCCTAGAGATTACTACTGAATTGTTCTGGGATGAGCACTGGCACCGACATTATTTAAAAGCCCCAGGTGATGTGAGTGTGAGCAGGGTTGGGTGGCCCTCCTCCAGTACACATGGCAGGGATGCATTTTCCATCCTAAAGGATAAGGTTCGTCCTCTGCTCTGCTCCAGAGGGCATACCTGAGCTTCGTAGGACCTCTAGGAAGAATCTTCCTCTGTAAATGCCATCAGGGAAGGTGTGATAGACACAGGAGTACACCCCTGTGTCGTTCGTAGTCAGGGACTGCAGGGTGAGGCCCAGGTTGGGGCGGGGGACCACTCGCTCCCTGAAAGCCGGGTAGATGGACCACCCGGACTCCGCGTGATGAATGGCCAGAAATTGGTCCTGCTGCTTCCAGTCGACCTGAGTCACCGTGGCTGTGGTGGAGGACAGGTGACATTGTAAGGTGACAGAGCCACCTTCCTCTGCAGAAATGTTCCCCACAGTCACTATTCTGCCTGCCACGGCTCCTGGGGAAGGGAGAAGGCGTGCGTGAGTCCCGGTCAGCAGATGGCCCGCTCCTTCCCATAGAAATCCCAAGGGGCTTTGTGACCAGGACTGGCTTTTGGAATGGTCATCTCTCCGGTCCACCTGTCACTCCGCCCGCCCGGGAGATGGAGCACATCCCAGGTGCTCTGCTGTGATACAGCGTCATGACCAGCGCATGGGTGATTTTCAGCTGCTTGCTTTACAATATAAACCCTGGCAGCCACTGCTTCTGTTTTATTATATCTTCCAGCAGCCCAGGGCTGGGCTGGACACATTACCCTTTAAAATAAAACCTGGCTGTTTGGTTGGTTGCCATTGGGGTGCCTGGAAAACCCTTCAGGAAAGCCATGAACTCCAAAGGGAAGGAGCGTTGGTGAGAAACTGGGTCTCCACGCAAAACCACCCTTTTGGCACTTACCACCCTCGGGTGGCTCAGAAAGCAAAACAAAAACCAACACTGCCGTTTTTAAACATTTGTGCCCCCTTTTAATACAGAAGGACATAGATTTAACATGAATTCAATCTAAAATGTTAGGATCTCTAGAATCTGTTAAGAAAACATGTTGATCCATAGAAGGGGCAGGAGTGAACTTTAAGTAAATGGATCACCCCCCTGCTTAATCCCTTCTCTCCCCCTTCTTCCTTTCTGGGGTTGGCCAGTCAGGCTACCCCCCGGCCCCCCTCCTTCATCTGCCGCCCAGAACAGACCTGTGCCACGTTCTCAGGAGAGAAAAGTAGGACACGGGGCTCTGAACACTGTGGTTTCCTTCCCGACCGATAGAGCATTCACTCCCTGCCTCCCCTTCCTGCCTCCCGGCTCTCCCTCTTCCTCGGGTTCTAGGCTGGAGTTTCAGTCCCTACCTGACGCCAGGAGGGGAGCCTGCCTCAGCCCCTGAGCCCAGATCAGGAGGAGACACCACTGCATGCTTCTGCCCAGGGGGCCTCAGGAAGCAGATGTGGCCTCCTCTGCCACAGAAACTGGCCGAGTGCAGCTGGCAAGGCGAAACTGAGCCTGTGAGCAGAGAGGGTCTCGGAAAAACAGAGTTCAGCAAAACCAAAGACAGATGCGGTTCTCAACAAGCACACAAACTGCACAGCGAGCCACAAGAAAGGCCGTGAAGGAAACACATTAAAAAAATAAGCGGCGATATGGTGAGCGGTACACTGCACTGGTCTTTGGATACTATTAGTCAATCTACTCATTTACATTCTCTTACTGCACTTTTTTTAAAAAAAAAAAATCAGCCTTTATTTAACAAGCTCAGGGCATCACTTCTTTATAGAACCTGTTACCGATGGAGTTCCCTGACTTCATCCTACTAAAGAATGTGCAGAACTAAGAGAAACTTAAGAGTGTGCACTCTCAGGCCAGGCACTGCACTGGCACTCTGAGCCAGTGAGCAAGAGGCAGTGACTATGGAGACAAGACCTGGGTGGGACAAAGTCTTGGACAAACATAGCCACACTTTCCTTGAATGAGGTCCTCTCCTTGAATCTTGTATCTTCTTTCTTGTTTATCTGGACTGAGACTTTGTTGAATTCTGGCTTAATCTCTCTGACCCTGTATTATCAGAGGAGACCAGAAAAGTGAGTTTTCTCCTGCATGGCAACCCCATGAAAATCGGGAATGCCTGACCCTGGAAAGAGATCATGTGATCTTTGCTTGAAGCTCCAGTTCATTGACAAATCCTACTGTTGGCTCATCCTCCCTCCCACCGCCCGTCCCTCGCTTTCTCTCTCCCTCCCTCCCTTCATTTATTTGAAAGTCCCTGAGTCCCTACAAAGGACCAGACTCGACTGCAGGCTCTGGAGATATGAGACACATTAGTCAAAGCTTGCTCTCCAGTGAAGCCACACTCTGGGGAGAGGAGGTGGAGGGCCCACATTCACCTGCCCCCAGGGCTCACCGCTGCTCCTTTGGACACACTCTGTGGTGTATGCACTGAAAATAGCTCCACCAAGAGGAGCATCTGAAGCCCCGTGCTCTGCCCTCTCCAGTCCAGCCAAGCACCCTGAGCTTCCACACCGTCCAGGCTCCTGTCCCCTTCTCCCCTGATGCTACATCTCAGACCAGCTTCTTCCCCTCCCTGGGTTCTTCTGTGAGGGAAAGCCAAGAGCAGCCAGTGGGGCTGGAGCACTGAGAGGTGCATGCTGGGGTTTGGGCTATCATAAATGCACAGCCTGTGTTCCTGCAGTGGGGTGATTGGAAACCATACAGGCAGGACCTGTCTTCGATGATGAGGAATCCAAAGAAATTTAGACTGGGTAAAAAAAAAAAAAAATAGTTGAAGAATTGTTCCATTTGTTTCTAAGCAATCAGTCCAAAGAGGAACACAGTCGAGTCCATTCTGATGAATGATGCTCTCCAGAGACATTTGAGGTGATGAACAGACTGTAGGCTAAGAAATACCTGGATCCAGATTCATCCTGGTTTGGGGACCTTGAGAAAGTTACTCAACTTCCTTAAGAGTCAGTTTCCTCATCTGCAGTAAGAATAATAGCATCCTCTCCCGCCCTTCATAAGGTCCTTGGGGAGGTTCAGTGAACGGATGTTAGCTAGTGTTTAGCACAGTGCCTGGAGCACAGGAAGGGCTCCACACATCAACGATAGTGTTGATAATAACAGCACTTAAGGAGGTAAAAGGGAAATCAGAGAAGAATATCTCTCTATCTATGTAATGTGTTTTGCCAGGAGTAAAACCCTGGTCTCTGGACTCCAAGTTCTCTACGCAACCTCTTCATTCTGTCGTGTGCATCTGACATAAGACTATGAGGAGGAAATGCCCCTGCAGAAAAGTGGGCCAGCCAGACCCAGAGGAGGCCTGGGAGGAAGGCCAATGACCCAAGAGTCTCCCCAGGGAACTTCCCAGAGTCCCTCTTGGCGCCTTTCACTGATGGGACTCCACCTGGAAACCTCAGGTGTGGCCACCTCAGCAGAGGCTGCACACAGCTCAGCAGCGCAGCTCCAAGGTGCAGGTCTGGACTGGGAGCTCCCAGGGCAACCGGAGCCTCAGGGGCCAGCGGCAGCCTCGGTGGCACAGCATGAACCTCTGTGGTCAGTCATATTCTGACTCACATTTTCACTTTAAAGTTCTAAAAGGAGCCACCTTAGTTTTTCTGCCCTCATTTTTTTAAATATATATACTAGTAGCCCTGCGCACAAATCTGAGCACCAGTAGTTCTCTGCGGGGCCTGGCCGCTCTGAGCCCACTGCCAAGAGGCTCTCCATAACCCATAGGCCCATCCACGCCCCGGCCTGGCCAGAGGCGCATCTGCAGCCAGATGCGGAACGCTTCACGAATCCATGCACCAGTAGCTCTCTGTGGGGCCTGGCCACTCTGCACCCGCTGCCCAGAGGCTCTCTGCAGCCCAGAGGCCCTCCGTGGCCAGGGTGGAATGCTTGCCTCATTGCAGCAGCGACAAAGCAAACATTCTGCCAGGCTACTCACACTGCCCACTCTCAGCAGCTGCCCCCCTGGGACTGGGGAACTCTGGCAGGACTGAGAGGACTGGGCGCTGCCATCTTGTGGCTATGGGCACCATCATCTTTGTGACAGAGTGATGGTTAATTTGCATATTACCCTTTTATTAGATAGGATATTACTATTGACAGTATTACATATGTCCCCCATCCCCCCCCCTTTGTCCCCATCTGCCCAGCTCTTACCCCGCCTAGGCCTTCATCACACTATTGTCTGTGCCATGGACTATGCATGTAAGTATACAAGTTCTTTGGTTTATCTTTTCTCATTCCCCCACCCTGACATATGTCCGTCTTCCCTCGCTGTTGTGGTTGTGAGATGAACAGGTCTAGTTAGTCTTGAGGCAACTGGATGGGTGTGGGCACTGAGGAAGGGACTCCATTTGCATGTAAAGGGAAGAAGGGCTGGCCTGGGATGTAAAACACTCCCCTGCCCCCTCCAGTCCTTTCACAGCCCAGCCTTCCCTTGCCCTTTGAGCCCCACGTGAGCCTAGTCACTCTACCCTCTGCAAACCTGTGGCCTGACAGAGATCACAGAACTGTGAACAGAGCTGAAAGAGGTTGCACTTTCTATGAGACCTGTGACTTATGCACTGGAGACACTACCGAGCAAGCGTTCTCTCAGGGCACAGACCACTCTCTCAGCTGTGTCTTTAGTCTTCCCCCTGGCGGGGGGCTTCAGGGATATCAAGGCTTTCTTCCCCTCTTTTCCTGGCCTCTAACCCAGTGCATGTCCTGCAGCTGCAGGGCTGGTGACCTTCTCAGCCAAGGGTTCTCACTCTGTCTCACAGCCCAACACCTCCTGGTAGTTGGCTGTCTTGTGGCCAAGGGGGCACAAGGCCCCTGAGGCCTGCAGGTCTGCAGAGGCCTGTGGGAGCAGAGACAGGGAAGGGAAAGAGAAGAGAACACAGCTGCCCAGGCACCCAGGAGAGCGTGTCCTGTGTCCCCTCACCCCCATCTACCATTTGTCGTAGCAAAGCCACCTCAGTGAAGCCATCTGAGTAATGGGGGGCGGGGGGGCATTGAAAGCCCCTTGTGGAGAGAGCTGCCTCAGAAAATCAAAGACAATGTGACAGGAATGTCTATCACCTGAAGTGTTTTTAAGTCTGTGAGCCACAGGGTTCGCTGGCTGCAACCGGCTCATGGTGAATGTATATGGGAGAACTTGGGGGTGGGATTGCTGACCATTAGCCCAAGCTCCCTCCAGTGAGGTGACTCCGAGGATCTCCCTGACAAAGGCTGCCAAGGACTTCAGTGGACTATGGGAAGTTTCCTTTGCCTTCCCAGCTGTGAAAATAGAGACACACACCCCGCCTCCCAGCAGAGGTTGGAATGCAGAGTCAGAAGTCTTTGGGAAGAAGCCACTGATCTCTCCTGCACCTCCCTTCATAGCCCTCCCACCCTCCCACATCACGCCCTGCTATCCCTCCCCCACCCTAGACGTGACTATACTATCAATCCAGCCCTAGTCCCGTCTGCCTTGAGAAAGTACCCTCCACCCCTGGAAACGTACTTGCTGCTTCCTACTCCCTAGAGTCCTCAGCATTGAGGACCACAAAGATTGGAATGGAAGTTCAAGTGAATGTATCAACCCATCAATGTTTCTCTCTCACATCAATGTTTCTCTCTCTCTCTCTCTCTCTCTCTCTCTCTTTCTCTCTCTCTCTCCCCTCTCTCTTCCTCTCTCTAAAATCAACAAAAACCTAGCCTCAGGAGAGAATTAAAATTAATAATGATATAAAACTATTTCTAGCCCTAACCAGTTTGACTCAGTGGATAGAGTGTCGGCTTGCAGACTGAAGGGTCCCAGGTTCGAGGGCATGTACCTTGGTTGCGGGCACATCCCCAGTAGGGGGTATGTAGGAGGCAGCTGATCGATGTTTCTCTCTCATAGATGTTCCTAACTCTCTATCCCTCTCCCTTCCTCTCTGTAAAAAAATCAATGAAACATATATATTAAAAAAATAAAACTATTTCTAGTTGTTGATGCTTATATAAATGTAAAACCCAATGAATCAACTGGGGGGAAAAACACACACACAAAAATAAAACTCTGCAAAATTTGCAGGATATTCAAAGAACTGCTCAATCACCAAGTGCTCTCCCCACACCACCAAAAAGAGTGTCAGGCCTAGAAGGTTTCACAGGAGGACTATAACAAACCTTTAGAGGGCAGATAATTTCATTGTTAGTTAATATATACACACATAGGACATAAAGAAAACTTCCAAATTAGTTTCATGAAGTGAATTTCAAAATGATATAAACATTATTAAGATTGTACACAACTGAAGAAAATCAGATCCTAATCTCACAAATGTTGAGGGGGGAAATTCTATATAAAATATTGTCACATGGATTCCAATAGCATATTTAGCAAAATATGTAATAATGAGGTAGAATGTATTCCAGGATTGCAAGAATAATTCAAAACTAAGCAATCTATTAAT